TTTTTTTTCGCTTATTCAACTGTGCCGATGCTGGTATTTCTCGTTTGATGCTATTTCATTTTTATCAGGGTATTAATCCTGTAATAATAACTTCTATGTGGGAGAAACGATGTAAAAAAATAAATAAATGAAAATGCAAAGGAAAAATGTGTGAAATAAAGTGACTGTTGAAAGGGCTAATCCGAAAATTACGTCTCTGGAACTGAGAAACCTGACTAAGCGTTTTGGCTGGAGAACTCTCAGTGGGATCGGCCATTATCATAAAATCAAGCGTTAGTCCTTGCTGTTCTTCTTAAACGACGTTTAGGAAAATTTAGCTGCAAATATTTTCCGCTTGGAGATTCGCCAGATATTTTTCCCTTGACGTATGCTGCTTTAACAAAACACCAAAGAACTTCTTATTTTATTCTTTTAAATAGGACAAATGTTATAACAAAATTAGATAATATAGAAATTATATTTTTAATTCCGTCGAATAATTTATTAAATCTTTGCGTTTTAGATAATCTGTTAATAATAATCAAGTTGTGGTCGACTCCAAAGTTGTAACTGAGACATCATCTATAACGGTAGGATGCAAACTCTTCTATCATTCATAACGTACACTTTTTTCCATTCCTTAATAAATAATAAGATAAATAAAAACACAGAGGTCATTTTAGTGTGTTTTCTCGTGAATAATCTGAATTAAACTACATATTGTCTAAAATGTTTGAAAACACATACCTACTTTAGTAAACTGATTGTTTTGATCTTCACGTTTAATAACAAAAAATGCAAGACGATTTTATAATATATGTATTATAACAGTAAACGATTATCGGTTAGGTTGATTGTTGGTTTCAATAACAACGACTAACAAGATCTGAAGTGCAAGTCACTTCAAAGCTATTAGGCTTTTAAGTGTTCCGCAGTAGGGTGTCTCACCTTTTCTAAACAGATTAGCAGTAATTTAATATAGGTTCGATGCACATTGATTTACGAATTTGTTTTTGTCAACAAATAATTTCAGAAGTACATATATGTACTACTGCAAAACCGCCTTATTTACGTATTATATTTAAACAAATCGTTGCATATAAAACAGTTAAATGAATTGTTAATGTCGTTTTTAATAAAATAATTAATTAAATTACAATCACCCTCTGGAATTTGTATTTCTGTAGACCAAAGCCTACTATAAACTCTACTACTCTACTATAAAGTTTACAGTAGGCTTTGTGTAGACTCTGCATTTCTGCAGTCAGTTTTAATAAACTGTATCATTTAACATCTGACCAAACCCTAAAAGTCGAATAAGAGGAGGATATAGCACAATGCTACCATTAGTCCAGCCATAATGTTGGCAAATTGTTCAGTGGGAGGTCCGACTCATACATCACCCTGTTTTGTCCCACGATCCGCTTGCCGATGCTAAATTATACCCTAAGCTTTGTCGTTCCCATTATCCACAGCTTCGACTTGCCTGTTTACAGTTTTCCTAATGTACCGTTGCTCACTTATCCAAATCACTAGCAATATTTCTACCACGTTTGAGTATTAAAACAAATATTCTTACGAAGTTTTTAAGAAAGGTTGAAATTTGTTTGATTTTTCACTGTAGGTATATTTATAAGACTAAATTTAAAAGGCTGCCTGGTTTTCCGTATACACCTCATATTTCACACGTATCTTCTATCTTATACGTTTTAGTATTCAGCAAGTCCGTCTTACACTCTTATAGATACTTTATAGGGCGGTTATTAAGAACTATCTTAAAAAAATTCACAAAGAACACTCTGAGAAAAGCTTTTAAAATTAAGTTTGCCTGGTTGAGCTTAAAGCATAATGAAGACAGTTGAAAATATGGAAGTTTAACATTTATTAAATGTACCTTTTCTGTGCTCATTTTATTTTATTAAATATTACAAAGACACATGTTTTCAAGCAGTAACTTTTTAATTGCAGCTACATTTCTTTTTTCATTGTGTCTCTTCGTTTTTTGTTTTTAAATAAATAAAGTACTGACTGCCCAATTTTTGGATTGAAATAAGAGTTGTGGAAAAATCAGTGTTATAGTATCTTCAAAATTTCAAAAAAATCCATTTTGTAGATGGTAAGGGTAAGGTAAGTACTAAAAATTCTTCAACATATATTTGACTTTTGAGTCAATTTGAATAATTATTATCTATCCAAGTCACCAGAATCAAGAGTAAATTATCGCTCACTATAATTTAAAATTAAAATAAAACAATTTGTACTCAAACTGTAAAGACAAATCCTCAGTTAAAATAAAAGACGGTTTTTGTTATTGTTAATATTCGAATAAGTCTTAAAAGTGCAATTAAAATGATGCTTATGGTTTAGAATTTATTTTTTCCTACATACCACAGTAGAACAGGTGTAGATACTTACATCAGATACAATGACTTCGACTTGAAATAATCTAGCAAATTCTGAAAGCTCTGATAATTTTTAAATTGATCCAGCTTTAAGCTTTCTATCCAGGATCATGTTCATATCCGCTGATTATGAATGTTGCAAAAATGGTATAGGCTTGCAAAATAATAATAGTAAATAAAAAGGATCCTGTTATACATCATTGTCGTGTACTAAATACTGCGATTATTGTGGGCCCTGTTTTCAATGGGTGGGTTGGTTAGTTACCTATTATTTATACAGAACGTGTTAAATCCATGTCGGCTTGAAAAGTCACGGCGTGAAGAATCAAGTGGGCGTGGAAAGATTTGTCACCCCTGTACGTGTCGGGGGCGCCAGGTGCGTTACTCTAATGCCAGCTGCCTTATATTTCCCACCTTCTATTAGTTCGCAACTTCCACAACATTCAGACTAATCACATGCTTCGTTTACTCTCAATACACATAACTGAAATGATACACCTTGTTTAAATTGTTAATTTAGGCGGAAGAAAGTCTTTCATCGCACTTTATGAAATAACCAAAAGAATACAAAATCAATAGATTAGAGGAAATTTTTGCTAAGAATAAAAGAGACTAGAGTTTGCTACGACTGAAATTTTCTAACCTTATAATCTGGAAATGTTAATTAATATAATACTTTCACAGCTTTCTCTACTTCCACTGGTACAAATACCATATGATCAAAAAATAACTCCGCTAGTAGGCCGTGCAATTTATTTTTAAAATATTGATGTTGGCAATATCAACTTGTTCCGTTTGATAGTTACGGTCAAAAAACTGCAATGCCAACATCATTATTTTAAAAATAAATTCCATGGCCAACTAGAGAACTTGTTTCGGTCATAAAGTACTTAAAGAATAAAAGGGCGTTCAGTTGGAAAAGTCATCAATTTCGCGTAGCTTTTGTGGTAGAAAAAAAACGTAGCGAAAAACGTGTGTGTGTATAATTGTTAGCTGTCCTCCATAAAACTTTAGATTTATTGTAGACATACTTCACAATGTTTAAAAAAATGGAGGCTAACTTAATGACTTTTTCAAGTGAACACCCAAAATTTTTTTCAGAAAATCTACTTGTCGTATATTGAAACTTTAAAATAAATTAAAGACGAAATTTCGTTCTTTCATGAGGGAAACATAGGAAGGAAACTATAAGAGATCATAATATAATAGGGAAACCAAGGTATGAAGAATTTTAGTTAAAAAAATCCAAACTCATTTACAAAAAATTTTATTAATCACTGAAACAGAAAAATACTCTGTATCACAGTGAGTGTTTCCAAAAATTACCTTATATTACTTACGAGTATGTCTGATATTTACAATATACTTAACGAATTTAGATGAGCTCTTGAAACATTCGATAATTTTTTAAATAAAAATATCTTATACAAGCTTTTCTAGCAAAATATACTGAATGAGAAATGAATGTTTGTTTAATCATTTTTTGGGAGCCTAATAAAAACCATAAGTTTTTGGTATTAAAATTTTTAATTTGGGAAAAAGAAAAATGAAAATTAATCAACAGACTCGAATAAAATTCATACGTGTAAAGTTAATAATGAATAAAAAATATTTTATAAATGATTATTTATATGTACCCAACTTTCATTTAAACATTTAAATTTTTTTACCAGAATAATTTCATTTTTAAATCAGTTTCTAAATACATTATTTTTCTTTCCAAACAAAAAATGAAGTGTTGTAAATAAGGTCGTTTGAGCGAATGTCTGATTTCACAATTTGTAGAAAACAAAAATGCGGGTTTCCTTTTCCATCTGTCTGAGCGGGCTTTAGTTTTTTGTGTATGGTCAGTTTTTTGGTGACTTTATTGAGTCATAACCTTCAAAATTACACACAGATTACATTGAAATTTAAGAACTATAATGTCAACCAGAAGTTGTGTATTCATATACACTAAATTTTTGAATAAGTTGAATATTTATTTTAGTAACTGTAGTTAAATACCTATTTACATATTGTTAGAATATTCCCAAAAAATACAAAAAATAGGCGTTTTTGAAATTATTCATAGCAGTAAATACATGCATTTTCTGAAAAACTGATTAAATTTTTTGCACACTTGCAAAGAAAAATATTGATATTTCATATAAATAGTTGTTTGTCAAAATACAACTTCTTTAAGACGTGATGAGTCATCATGACCTTAGAAAATGTCGTCACCTTTGCAAAATGTGGAAATTTATTAACTTATTTTCTTGGAACAATTTACCTTTTAAAGGGACTTACTCCTTGTGGTGGTTCTTTTGAAACTACTTGGTCTCATGATATTAGACATCAGATAGTTAGTTCTCCAAATCCTCGGACATTCATTTATCTCTTTTGAAGGTAACCAAAAATAAGAATTCAAAAAATAAATAAAAATTTGAGAAAATATTAACCAAAATAACAAGTTAAAAAATAAATAAAATTTGAGAAAAAATAGTACCTAATAGTAAACGTAAAGATTAAAAACAGAAATTGTGGACGGGTCAATAAAAATGGTCATACTTAAACATGCATAATTTATTTTACAATGTCGCTGAAAATATAAAACTGAAAATACTAGTTTTACATGATTACAGTAACATATCTTTAATTTTTACAGTGTTTTAATAAGAAATGATGTTTCAATCGAAATCTCTCGAATTACTAAAACTATATCTATTGCACATTATTTCTTATAACATGACTGAAGTTTGAACAGTGAATGTATTATTAATAAAAATATGCACCATATAAAATAATTCACAGTTCAGTATTGCTCTCCATAGCAGTCACTATACAATATGTATTCATCACAAATGTCATTCAAAAGGTATTTTTTCGGTTCAATGCGGTGGAGCCGAGGGATGATAACCATGCAAATCTAAGCCAGCTCGTAGTGCAGCGTGACTAGCCAGAACTCTCCCAGCTAAATCTCCAAGGGCTCTCTCCAGCTGTTGATGTTGACTCCTGACAGCAAACCTATTAACGTGAACGGGGATTGGCACTACTAGTTTACTCTTTTGTTGGCCTGTTTTTGGTTGATGAGGTCCCGCACCTAAACCCGCCTTTACTCGTTTCCACTTTGCTCTACGATTTTGGAACCAAATTTTTACTTGAACTTCGCTAAGACGTAAGGCCGACGCTATTTGACTGCGTTCTGTTAAAGAGAGGTATTTTTTTGCGTGAAATTCTCGCTCGAGTTCGAGTAGTTGTTCACTAGTAAACGCTGTACGGCGGCGACGAGCTTTCGTTGAACCAGGTCCTTCGCAGGAGCTGTCAAGGTTTTGGGCTTCCTCTGTTTCATCCTCCAGATCTGAACCTGAAAAAAATAAAGTATTTTAAAAGAAAAGACAAAAAAATACGCAGTTGAACTGTATGAACTGATGAACTGGGATATGTGATTAAATATCGACGAACGTTTTAAATTAATGTACGGTTCCAACAGTCTGCTCTAACAACAAATTTTTAAAATGGTTCTACGAATAAATCAGACGACTATACGATAAAAAATAAATACTATATATCCTGTCATTAGTAAAGCAGATTAATTATTATTTTCGTTGTGTAAATTGCACTGGTGTTCAATATATACTTATTTTGAATCATTGGTGACTAAAAATTCTATTATTTAATTGTTTCTAACTTGTTACTGTTCAGTTCATATATGGTTTGAATGGTGCCTTATCGATTCGCATCGACGAACTGATGATTAATTAAACGGACAATAAACCACTAAATACTTATATGCGTGGTTTAATTCGGTTACTTCGTGATGTTTCTGTGGCATTAAATTATATTTTTACTTCCTAGGCGTAAGCTAAGGAAGTAGATACAGTAGTTGAGTCCATCGGGCGACTTGTCATTTTCATGTTTTCTCGACGTTTCATGACTTCTAGAGTACGAAAACAGTGGTCTCCCGTCTCCGTCTGTCATGTGTCTGTCTGTCTGTCCTCTGTATCAATTTTTGTTAAACACATAATCTCCGAAATTACTACATTGATTTTTGTCAAATTTTGTATGTATATTAGGAATATCATGTACATGGTAAAACGCTAACCAAAATTTCCCTAATCATCCCCATCACCAATGAGATGACGTCGTTTATAAAATTTACAATAACAATTTTTTTTTAATTTTTGAAAATAAGGTGTACTCCTGTATTTGTGATGTATGATCCGTGTTGAGCTTTTACCCTGGACATCAAAATTTTTGGAAAAAAATGACAATTGTATAACAACAATTTAACTTCGAAATTCCAAACCGAAGCTCTGAAATCTTGCAAACGTTTTAGGGTTATCGTAATCATGGTAAATGTTTATCAAAATTTATTCGTTTGTCCCCTCTCAAAAAATTGATGACGACATCAAAATTTTGCCTAATGAACCCTCTCCGAATAATGCAAAATATTGCGACTTTTTACATGTGGTGTACTCATAGTTTTTAGAATTACCTATACAGTGTGACAAAAAAATATATATTAATGAATGAGGCAAATTATTTTTTGAATTAAATCAAGAATAACTCACTCCCTTTACCCGAAAATTAGGAAATACTGTGCTGTTATTATTAGTATTACACTGCATCTACCCAAATTGATTTAGGTGTGCTTGCAAAAATATCAATGATGTCATGACAAAATTTTGTATCTTTATTTTTACTTATAAGGGTTATTATAAAAATAAAATTCGCAAAATCAAATGTTACAATTTTTCGAGAAGCTGGATTTGCTGTAATGTACTTCAGGAGCGAAGGAAGTTTTGTCTAAATAACCTTCGACCATCTGTTTACTTACTTACTGAAAAAGTTGTTCTTTGTATAGTTTCCCCAGTTCTAATTCAGTTTTAGGATGTGTAAAAGTTAACTTCTTTAACAATAGGTTACTACTGCCGGTGATGGGCCAGTCATAAATAAGGATTTAACCAATATACTGTATAATGGTAACGGCATGGTTAAATCCTTTTATGACTGTTCCATCACTGGCAGTAGTAATTTATTGTTAAGGAAGCCAACTTTTACACAATGGGGTACAATCATAAAACCGACTTAGAACTGGGGAAACTATACATAGGTTGAAACTTATGTACGCTGTGTTGCCTATCCTTTCCATATTTAAATATGTAATTTAATTTGTATATTAATATGTTTGTTGAAATTTTAACAAAAATAGGTATGTTCGAAATTCACGAACTAAAAATAATTATCCTACCTAAATAGAAATAATTATTTATGTAACAAGTAAATAAGGCACCAAATGTTTGGACTGCATACGAAAAATGATGGCGTTTACAAAGAACATAAGTAATTCTCGATAATAATGGAGATAAAATGAAGTACTAAATTCTTAAAATGTGTAAAAATTGTTACAACATTGACCACACTGTATATACTTTGATTTTGGAATTTCACACAACTGTAAACTTCATTACTTAACTTACTACAAACAAATTGTTTTTAACTCAATGTTTATGTTGTATCTTTATGTCAAATTTATTGTAAGTTAAAAATTAGAACATACAAAATTTAATTTTATGAAAAGACAATGCTTTGCAATAAATTTAATCTTGCGATCAACTGACTCTTCGACCACACCAATGAAAACCATACGCAAAATATTAAATGCCGATTCATTTCTTTAGCATGTTCGTGATGTTTTTCATTGTTGTGACTTTGAAACTTTGACTTTTAAATAATTAAAAAATTAAAAGAAAAATATCTGCTAAACATTGTAGCACCACTTTTTCAGCTCTTGTAGTTTTTGGATTTAGTGCGTTCATTACGTGACATAACACCGTGGTCCGAAATGAAATTAGGAAAATTTCTTTATTCGTCCCTTTTGGAAAGTCGATGACTTACATAAAAAAGTACTCCTATTAAATTAAAAGTGTATTAAAAAATATGTTTCCAGTTTTGGTAATAGTTTTAAGATCTCTATTTCAGTACTCAGGAAAATTAGTGGAGCTACGCGGAATAAGCAACCCTCTAATTTAAAAAAATGTTTTACGGCTCTGGCAGGGGTTTGGTTATGGAATTTTGTTCTGGCATTTAGTCTTATTGGTTCTATTATTTTACGTTCTCTATATTTAAATTTCAATATTGTTGATATAACACAAATATCAAAAGAATATATACATTTTTTTTTCTTCAGATCTGTTAGTTTATATAAATTGTACTATTTTTTTACCCTCTTTGAGAAATAGGGGTTGCTTATTCCGGCAGGTATCCGTTGCCAGAATGAGCATTTCTTATTCAGTAGATATACAGGTACTAAAATATACAAAGTAAATCGGTCGCTAGCTTTTAGACCATATATAGGTAACCCTGGTAACTCAACAAACCTTTTGGTACAGTAATGTATGGCCAATCCTTACCTACTACTTATAATCCGAAAATCTCTGTAATTGGTAAACCTTCATTCGATTTCTGTAAATCGAATGTTACTGTAATATTTTTTATGTTTTTCTTTTTTAATATCTTGTATTGAAAGATAAACTGGGCGTCCAAATTTTAGAGATATTTAAATTGAAACAGTTTAAGCCTAGTTAATTATTTCAAAAATAAAAAAAAAAATGTCTACGTTGATGTATTGTTCTTTAATAAATAAAATATTATTTCCATATAAAACTCAATTTTATGGGCTTTTATTCCATCAAGTATGTGACATTGATATAGTTCGGAGTATAGATAACTTCTGTACTCCGAATATTTGGCTAATCCGACGGGGGGCTGGCAATTGTCTGTTCGCATTAAACATAACTATATATAAATGCTTTGACTTTTTAGAAAAAGAATATACGTTAAGGCAATCATGGGTAAAACATCTCGAAAACCATTTATTGCAACCATTTGACGTATTGTATAGGCTTTTTACTTTACCCCTATATAAATGGTTTATTAACTGTTACCGTGACTAGTTTTTGAAATCCAGTTTTAACGTCTTTTTTTATTGACATGGTGTGGTTTTTTATTAGTCAATTAAATAATATGAAATGAAATATATTATTGTTAACTAATAGTCCACATTCGAGTTGTGGTATAAAGCAAATCTGTGACTTACTGAATAAGCAGTAGATTTGTTGTTGTGTCGCAAATTCAGTTTGTGGTGACAAAATCAACTTGAAATTATTAGTTGAACAATATATTTAGCATATGAATAGGAAAAGAAAACGCTTAATTGTGCTTTTAATTAAAGAAAATAATCACTTAAAATGGGAAATTTTATTTAAATAAACCTGTGTTACTTTTCGAATAATCCAAAAACATATTCTGTGTTATAGTTGCTTCCACCGTTTCCTTTTCCAGAAGAATAGATTCTGTACACAATTTTCAAAAATGGTGTAAAAATTTCAATAGTACTTTTAGGGGTCTCCGAAACAGTAATATCCTTAAAATCTCCTCTCACTTTCCAAATTAACTATAGCGTGCCAAAACTATTCGTAGTAACATAGTGAAAATAAGTAGGAACTTTAATCATACAAGAGCGTGCCAAGGGTTTTTTCAGTATGTCCTGAATCCTGAACCTTAACATCTTGACAATAAAAATGCGATTTTTCCTTATTTTAGTAACTTAATAATTGATTTAAAAATCTTTGTATTTCGAGTTTTAACGCAAGACATGCGTATTCTTCTCTATATTTCATACCCTTTTTATCTTGCCTTTTTAGTGGCCGGTTATGACTAAAATTTATGAAATTTTATGTGGTGGTGTGTTAACAAAACCTTGGATAATTGCCTATTTCAAAACAGTTACGTAAAATTTTAAATGAATATACTTATGATTAGTTACATTCAAGTACAAAAAATACACGCTCTTATCTAATTTTTATTATAAATGAATCCACATCTACGAGGGTATTTTGAAAAATATTCAGTTTAGGTTGTTTAAATTGCACAAAACAAATTTTCATTACTATATCAACTCACAACAACATACTTAAAATGTTATGTAAAATTTGACTACGAAATATAAGCACATGGCTGTATAGTAATTAATAGAATTTCTACCGAAATCGTGAAAATCAATAAAACTGAATTACGATGAATCTATTTTTAAAAGGGTTAAAAGGTAAGGAGATTTACTAAGATATGCTTAAAACGCATGGCGATCCTGCTGTTCCTATACCACCGTAAAAAGTTCGATTGCCTCTTTCAAAATTGGTCAATTTTCGGTTGAAGATGACTAGAGATCTCGAAGACTGATTTCTGTGAATGCCACGGAAAATATTTGATTCAGTTCACAATATGATTTTGTCAGATCCTCGAGTTGGGATAAAACATGTATTTTGGAAACTAAAGATTTCCTGTGGACTCAAAATTCTCTCCTACTTGGATAAAAAATCTGCAAAGTTGAGTCCTAAATGCTTGAATGCTGATCCAAAGCGAGCAAGAGTGGAAATGTCCCTTTCTTCGTTGACCCGAATAGACGACGATCCTAATTTTTTAAACTTATTGCCATGGATGTAAGATGTAACCGGACTGTATTTCTAAGGCCCAAAGACGATACAACAGTCGATGGAATGGAGGTACTCTGATTCTTCAAGGCTTAAGAAGATTCGGGTGTTGATTACCTGGATAAAGGCAGTTCCACAACTGGAGAATACTATTCGACTTTATTAACAACTTGGCGCGACAAAATTATTGAAAAAAAAAATGCGATAAATTATCCAAACGTGTTCTGTTTTTATGAAAGAATCCGCCTGCATACAAATCGGGTATTGGAGATTTTGCAATGAATACGATTCATGATTTAGAGTTCGAAATCCTTGAATATCCCCTCTAATTCTCCGAACCCTGGCTCCCTCTGATTGTTAATCGTTTCCTCAAATGATGAGAAGTTCGAAAGGACATACACTTTCTTCAAATGAAGAAGTAAGAGAAGTCATGAAGAGATGGTTTGCAGAGCGAGAAGAAATATTTTTTAAGAAGTTTTCAAAATTGTTTCTTATTACAATTCGAGACACCTCTTAACCCTTGAAAACTAATCTAAATTTTATGCAAGTTACCATATTACCCTTAACCCTTAAACCACATACGCCAAATTATGTTGGGATCGAAAATTACTTACGGCCGACAGATCCGACATCATACTGATCAAGAAACACACCAAAGAAGCTTTTCTTATTTGCGCTGCAATTCTTAACAGAAACAATTAAATTGTATTACGAATTTCAAAAACCATTGTTGAATCACCAAAAAATTGTAAATATAGAGAACAAAACCCAAGCCTTCACTTGTAAAGCAAATGGTTTACCGTTAAGCCTACATATCGTATGACGTGCAACGTTGATATTACGGTATTTACTAAATAACTTTGCTCGTAGGGAAGCAGAATAATAAATAAGTAGAACCAGTAGAAAACAGTGTTAATCAATGTTAGCACATTATCAAAATTTAAAAAATATTTTTGACGCAGATTCGAAGACAAAAGTTAAACTCATTTGACGAATTTATTTTTTCATGAAAACCAGTATGCGAAGGATTTAAATATGCAAACGAACCGTAGGTAAAATTTTTGATAATTATGAAAATACACATTTTGGTTAGTGTTTTATCAAAGTTTACGGCAGTCTTAAACATCCTAAATTTCACGGTCATCAAACTAATAACAAATTTCTTTATCTCTGTCTTGGTAATCCCTATTTATCCAACCTTGTTTTGAGCTTTATCTACACATGAGTTGGACATCTAACCAATACGTGAATGATCCAGTAAAAATTAAGTTTATCTATGCATGTATATGAATTTCAATCAAATGTACGTACATGCTTATAATTCTAAAGAAATTGACCAGGTACTTCATAAAGAAATTATTATGCAAAAATGTTTCCGTGGCTTACACTTAATTTTTTGTCGTTATCTTATCAATTATGAGATCACGACTACTTTATGGAGAAGAACCGCAACAGTAAACATTTTTATTTGGTGAGTTTACCGACTATAAATTGATGGTGCCATTTTTTACAGACATTTTATGTTTTAGCTATATTTTAGTACATATCTAGTTCTAATGCAGGGATCTATAGATTTTTCAAGATTATCGGATTATTTTAATATGTATTATAAATCATCAGCTAGGATTTTTTAGTTAACGCCAGTAAGTATACACTCGTACATTGGTGTAACATCAAATATCATATATGTAAACACTAGGTGGACAATCATAAAGAAAAAGGAGACAGGGGAAAAATAAAAAAAGTTAAATGAGGTGTAAGAAAAATTTTTAAATCGAGAAAATCTGCTAAAGCGTCTTCATAAATCGCCACAAATTATGAGAGGGAGTGAAAAAACAGAACAGTCATATTACAATTCATGTAAACAATGTATTGCTAGGGTGGTGAATAATAAATGAATTGCATCGATAGCGTACGCAATACATATAATGTTGATCTTCCCTCAGTAAGGGGAAGAACCCTAAGTATTTATTCGTATTGATTTTGTTTTTTATTTTAGGCTGCTTATATTTTAATATTTGGCGGCTTTACGAAAGTCAAAGTTAAATTTCTAGTGATCTCGGAATAAATTGTGTAGAAAATAATGTCAAAATTTGCAACGACGCTTGACTAAGTCAACATCATGTAATTATCTAGTATTGCATTCTTGTGCCAATAAAAACATTCAAGCTAGGACGGTAAGCAACACAGTCGTTATTTCAAAGTGAATAAAATTAGTATTTTGGCAGAATTTCATAGTTGATGTAAATGCGTACAATTATACACAGTTGTGTGTTTGTGGTTTTATATACATGGTATATTTAATTTAAATCGGTTTTTAATTTTTACAAATATCAGTAGTCTGTCATGACAAAAATACAAATTATACGCCTGTAGAATTGAACAAGATAATAGCATGTTTGCGAAAACCTTTTCTTATAAAGTTTTCCTTATGCTTACAATTATAATTTATAATTATAGTTATAAGTATAAGTATTACATATAAATTGTAACAGTTATGCTGACGGCTTAGAACCTTACATTGACAAGCAGAACTGACTTTCTGTCACGCAAATTGATTCATTTTGCCCATGAATAATTTAGAAATTTTGGCTACTTTTGGCAATACAGAAGATGTACAGAACTACTTAGTGCATCAGTTAATACAAAAAGAGTTAACAGAAAAGCGTTATTCATATACGTGTGTTAAATTCAACATGAATAGCATTCCGCCAGAAAACTTTCGTTTTCTTTTTCGAATTGAAAAAGAACATATAATTAAATTACATCAAGCTTTGCAAATGCCTGCAAAATGGGTTACACCGGATGGTCATGTCATTGAAGGTTTATTATTATCTACAATCGAGAAGAAATTCCGTATTTTTAAACACTCTTCATTTATAGGTCTTGCAGGATTATGTCTCGTTTTAAGACGATTTTCTTACCCAAACAGACTAAAAGGATTGCAAAATGAATTTGGATTACATTTTTCGTCAATCAGTAAAATTTTAAAGTTTGTTGTTACTTTTATATTGAAGAAATGGGCCAAGTTATTATTAAATTTTGATAAAAACATATGGTTAACGCAAGGTTTTCTCGCAGAGGTGGCTGCCTTCGTACATAAGAAAGGTGCTCCTTTAAGAAATTGCATTGGGTTTATCGATGGTACTGCCCGGGCAATTTGTAGACCATCAAAATTTCAAAAAGAAGTTTACAGCGGACATAAAAGAATACATTGTCTGAAATTTCAATCAATCACCGTTCCAAACGGTATCATTTTACATTTAAGTCCTCCGTATTCTGGCAGACGACATGACTCTTTTATCCTTAACAATTCAAAAATCTTAGAGCAAATGAAGCTCCATTGCCCACAGTTTTGTTTATACGGTGACGAAGGGTATCCATTAGTGCAACAATTAATGAGACCATTTTATAATCATAATTTAACAGAGCAGCAACAAATGTTTAATACCAAAATGTCCAAAATACGCCAATGCGTAGAATGGAGTTTTGGTAAAATAACAACGCAATTTGCGTTTGTTGATTTTAAAAAAAATCAAAAACTTTTTCTGCAACCAATAGGTCAGTATTATATTGTGGCTGCATTACTAACGAATGCGCATACATGTTTTTATGGAAGCACAACTTCTCGATACTTCGATATAGAATCACTAGATATTATGGAATATTTTCAATAATTTCTTTTTAATCAAACAATTACCTTTAATTAATATGTTATTATTAAATAAACATTTAAAAGCTGTAATTATTTCAAAAATTATGTCAGATTTTTATTATTTAAATTTTGTGTTAAAATGTTTTCCAAAAATCTGTTTAAAATTGCATTTTTTTGTCTTTCTATTTTACGGCCCTCTTCCTCCTCTTGCCATTTTTTCTGTTCGAACTCAAGCTTAGCTTTTTTGAATTCCAACTCTTCTATTTGAATTTTCATATTATCTTGATGTTGCTTTTCTTTAAATCTTAATTGTTCTTGTTGTAGCTGACTTTCCCGTTTCATTTTTTCAATTAAATATGAAAAACTTGTTCCATCTTTAGTTCCATTTCTCGTCTTTCGTGCTGCTGCTGTATAAACCCTGCTAGATTCTTGGTTGAACCCTTCACGACCCCCACGCTCACCATCAATATCAGTGTCATTAAAATCGTCAACAGTGTGAAAAAATATTTCATTGTCCACGTCAGTGGCTTCTGTTTCTAATATTTCTTCACTATTACAACTTTCAATAGGATTGTCCAAACTTTGCAGAGCAGCTTGGCGAATTGCTTTTGCAGGCATAACCTCGTCGAATTTTTGGTCACTGCATCTTTTTTTACCCCGTTCATTTTTTTTATTTTCTATGTCAATTTGTGCCACATCTTCATATTGCGACCAGACAGTCAGAAGTTTTCTAACAGCGTCGCCCCACTCAGTCTGTATCCGTTCTTTCCCACTTTCTGTAGCTTCGTCGGCATCAAATTTTCTAAATTTTATTACTTGTTCCAACATATGATCTTTTAATAATTTGAAGCTACAGTTCTGAAAGCGCTCTCTTTCGTCTTCACTTACGACTGCATGAAGTTTTTTCCACACATCTTCTTCGTTTGTAAATTCAGTCTCGCAAAGAAGGTCGAATAATGCATTCAAACATTTTATACGTTCCCTCTCTGAGAATCGAAATCGTTTCTTTTTCAGTTGCGACATAACTAATTAAAGTTCTAAATGACACTGACTGACATTGTAGAAAAATTCTACTATTGTCAATATAAGAAGTAACGATTGTGAGTGTTATAATTATAAGACATAGTTATAGGGATAAGTGTAAGCATAAGAAAAAATGTATAAGAAAATGTTTTGCGCAAACACGCTAATGATTAACATTTAAATATCTAGGCTGCTCAATATTAATGAATAGTCCTATATTTCACATATCTATATATTTTTTTTTAGTTTCTCGTTCCAGCTCAATACTTGCAAAACTTCGTGTATAAGTAATTAGTAATTACTGAGAAACCAGTAATCACACAAATGGAAGTTAGAGAATTTTCTTTGGACCGGTATTACTTTTGACTTTGTGTAGTTTCTGGTCTCTTTATTTATTTTTTTTTTTTTTGGAAATCGGTCTACAATATTCAAGATCGTAAATATTACAAACTGAAGTTATTTTTGATGACACTTTCTAGTTTTACCATTTACCACATTAGAACTACAGCGCTTAAATTCAAGGGAATGTTTTATCGACGTGTGACGAGGTTTTGTGTTAGCGTTCCACTGGCATTAAGAGGGTTAATTCTTAATATTCGTCCAAATACTTTCAATAAATTAATAATAAAATAATTACATTTATCCAAAGTCTCATGATAAGTTTCAAAAATATTACTCGTTATTCATTTTATTATCAAAAAAAACAAACAAACAAGAAAGATAAAAATGGTCCCAAAAATTAGGACAAGAACTGATTAGAAGGGTTCTAATATAACTCATATAAAATTAAAATTACAACAAATCTTGTACTGAAGTAGACAGAATATTAACCAATTGAAAAGGAAAATTGCTATTAGATAGGGCCATATTTTTGGATGAAGTATTAGGTACATAGACCGAAAAATTAGCATTAGATATTTTGTAAATGCAATGTGATGCTGATGACTCCTTCAGGTGTTCAGTGCCAACACTAAATCTCATCATACCAAATTATTAAAGCTTCTCTCGGATCAAAAAGCTGCAATTCTAATGTGGTAAGTCGTAAATAAATTATAGTCTCATAAAAAATAAGTTTCGCAGGAGATGTACTTTTTAAACAAGATAAAAAAAACGAGATGTTAGAAAAATATATACAACGCCAAAAGTTTAGTGAATATTTTCAAACAGCTAACTGGTTTTAAAAGTAAGTTAATTAAAATAAGATTTTAACTGTGTCTATTTACCCCGTATAAAAAATTGCTAAGATCAACTCAAACTACTTTTGAGTAAATTTCATCATAAGTCCTAAGTCTACTAGCATTTTCTTAACTATAATTTGGTAACACGCTTTTAAAAATCACTCTAGAGTTTTAGTTTTATTTGCTTAAAAATTCCATAACGTAAATATTTCTTTGAAATATTTATTTTGTAAAGAACTAACAGGTATAAAATTTGGGACTACAAATTAACAAGTAAAACGCAGTTATTCATCCCCTCAGGGAAGTTGATGGCGTCATTTCAAAAAATACATCTATACTGAAAACTAATTAGGTATAATGTACGTTATAATTCGTGCTGCAATAATATACTTTTCCTTAGAACGAATTATAGAAAGTGTAAACTATAAAAGCAGCACTTAATTAAATCTTGTTTAAATTCCGGGAACGCTAGTAAATGTTTTCCTAAGTTTTTAAAAACACGTTATAGATTTGTTGTTTTCAACATTCAGAATGTTATTTTGATGGTTGTAAGGTAGGAAACAATTCAGCTAACTACTAGGTACTAAGTATATTTGAGTCACTATATTTCTCACAGCATCGAGAAAAAATAGTAAAGGTTTCTAACCGTTTTTTCCATTAAATCAGTCTATGTTCTGCATTGGAATAGTCCTGATTAATATTAATTGTTTGTGTAGAGTTAAATTTTATCCGACATTCAATTCAGAGCATGCATTTTGTATAATACAAAAATAACAACGTTGTAAACGTGAAATTATAAAGGAACCAATTCTTAGTACCCGATGAACGATACATCCTGCATTTTGAATGGTCATTTGAAGAACTACGCGTTTATGCATCTCGATTCACCGCAGCGAATAAGTTATTATCAATTTAGCATTCGCCGTTATAGCAATACACTAACTCAGGCATGCTTACTAAAATGATTCATTATGTTAATGACTCTTGTTAGCTTTACTTGGAAATGTCCCGACATGATTTTAA